GTCGATATTTTAGGCAGTGAGCTTTTGTTTCCATGTAGGTATCTACTTGCTTAGTTAAGTGTATAGTACCTACATATAAAAAATAGTTTAAAATAAACATTTTGAATATTAATATTAACTTAAATGCTGTTAAATTGACAATATAATGACTAAAAAACCCATTTATATAGGTATAGGTATAACTTTTAGTGCATAAGAATATGTACCTAAAAAATATTTTAACTTAAGTACAATATAAATGTAGGTTCTATTATTTTATGTAGGTAGGTACTTAGGGATACCCATACATAAGTTTATAGGCCTGGATATACAAACGAGAAGCGCAACAAAATTGCAAATATGGACTGTCATGGTCGAAGTTGTCTCTTAAAGTGTTGTTTTAATAGGTCTATTCCCATTCGATTTCATTAAGTCACCTATTTTAAGACACTGCAAATAATTTACTAGCTTTATACCATTTTGAATGTTGTTCTAAAGTTGTATGCATATCTTTTGCCAATAAATATAAAACCAAACCGTCCATTTCTTTACTCTGATGTTTTGAAAGCTAATCAGTCTCAAAATTAAAAAATATTATTTAGGTTGTTTTGCGTATAAAAATCTTATCTGTTTTTTTTTATTTTAATGTAGGTACATGTCAATAGGTAAAATATTATACCTACTTTTAACAGTCTATTAATATATGTAGGTAGGTACCTATGCCCTGTAGAGTGTGGACCATTATGGAAATCTCTCAAATCTTTAGTGTTACTTTAGGGAACTTTTTATCTTAAAAAATTTGTAAGGGACTAAACTTTGAGATAAAAATCTTATTTATTTTAAGTGGACCATATTTCGATAAGCTTTATTTAAATGCGACTTACTAAAGAGAGTCAAATGTAGATAGCCAATAGTAACTTTCTTGTTTTCTTTTGCCTTGATCAAGTATTGCATATAAAATGGTGAATTTAGCACGAAATATAATTTTATTATTCCAACTTTGTACCTCCAGTCAGTTTATTACATTTTCATAAAGCGAGTTTTTGAAAGAGTGTAATAATAATTTCTAATATAGGTATAGATATATATTGTATAGTGTATACCTACCTATGTATGATACAAAATACATCCATTTATTTATTAGGTATGTTTTCAGATTCTGTATTAGTTTTGACCAATGTATTTTTTATTTTACAAAGAATCGTCTATTACCACGGTAAGCGGTAGCGGTAATTAATAAAACTATATTATCTTTAACTAAATATGTTATTTATTTTATTTTTATATTATTATTTATTTATTATAGTGTAGGTATACATAGATATTACCATATATGAATTCTTTAAATCTAATACAATTGTATCAAATATAATTTTTTTATATGACATTAAAACAATAACATAAAGCTATTTATGACACATTCTAATTAAAATTAAATAGGCATATAGACATTTTTAATTGGCCTTTGTCGCCACGCGTTAAAGCAATTGAAATACGACAGTTTCATGTCACGCGACAATTGTATAAATCATGAATTATTATTATCAGGTCTAATAAAAATCAAAAGTTGATAACATTATAATTTTATGTTAAAATTATGTAGGTTATATACATAAAAATTAAATTTAGTATTATATACTAATGATAGTTACTAATACATCATAAGAAACTAATACTAAGGTCACTATGTTTTCTTGATCTTCTTTGTAAATGAAATTACTAAGAGATGTAAATTAATCGTAGATGTCGATCACACGCATTAATGTCAAATCAATGTTATAGACACCTAACAACACAGTCATTATTTCAACCATCTTATTTATCAATTAGCATTGCCCGCGGCTCCGCCCGCGTTCAGATCACCAAAAACGAAATTCTTAGGTTTTAAATATTAGTATACCCTTACATTGCAGTTTTTGTATTTTTTCTCAGAAATGAGATATTTTCCCGTGGTAAAAAGTATCCTATATGTTGACCCGGATAACCATACCAAATTTAATGAAAATCCCTCCAGTGGTTTTTCCGTGATGCGGTAACAGACAGACAGACAAAAACTCTAAAAACTATAGATTCGGCCTCTGTATCGATAATTATGTTTATTTCCATAAGGTTTTGCCAAAAAATATTTAATGTACAGATTCGGCTTAGCTACAATTTTATTATAGGTATGTAGCTATAGATGTGTTACTTATAACTCGAAATTTACTTATCTGTAAGTACCTAAGTATGTATTGTTTTATATTTATTTATTAAAGTTATACTTCTTTTGACACGTTTAGAAAAAATATGAAAATAAAATTTTTACAATGTGCGCGCACACAACAACCAAAAAGCGACATGATGAAGTTAGCTGCATTACTTTTACAAACACAGAGTTGTAACACACCGGTTAAAATCTTTAGCTATTTTGTTCTGTTATACCAAAGAAGTATAACTTCTTACGTGCGTACATAAGTAGGTACACACACACGTTTTTTTTGTTTTGCATTAGCATTTCGTAGCATATGAAGTTATTGCTAGCATTCCTATACAAATTAATAATTTAGTATCTTAATACATAAATGATAGGTACCATATCAGATAACCAGACGATATCGGACACGGTGGACCTGTCGATAATGTGATGCAAATTCTAGACGGAAGCTGCACAGCGCATGAGCGCAAAGTATCCGATCGTAAAACTGTAGTCGTTACTCCCTCACACCCCCCCCCCTCCCCTCCACCTCTTTGTTTCAGCAAGGGAACTAGGACTAACTCTTAAGACCCCTTAATGTTTCTGCGGTGAAATTCCATGTCTTAAAGGGTTGGTATTCATTCCGTCTACGTCTTAATGTGATACTTAGTCGAAGCAATTTAGTAACTTATATAATTGAAGATAAAAGATAATTGCAACGTTTGCAATTAAATACTTATACCTAATAAATGTTTCAAGATTTCATAAGTTTTTATATTATTTAACTTGGTTGATGCTCGTTCTCCATATTGAGTTTTTAACTAAATCTTTATAAGACTTAGGAAATAGTGTTTGGTAACGTTAGACTCATTTGAGGTACAACCTACCTATGTATATTTATATAGGTACCTATATGAATATAAATATATTGATACACAGAAAGTTCTTAGAAGAAATTGAAATGTAACCTATGTTTACGTTAATAAAAATATATATTTTCATTTTTATCTTCGAAGAATAGTAAAAAAGCTCGTCGCAAGTCACCAAATAGAGCTGGACAAGACACCTTTTAGTACAAAACACAGTATCGTAATATTACTTGTATAAAATATACCTTTATATAAAATATATGTAATAAAGAAACGTGACAATATTTATAAAAGCAGGTAGCCTGAGGGAGCAGGTAAAGAGGTCCGTCATACGTGTATCGCAACTCATTTCGAATTGGTATCGGTCACGGAGATACATAGAGTCGGCTCGGAGCCGGGCTTTATATGTTGTACAGTTATGAATAAAATTTAATTTAGAAAAATATTTAAATATTTTATACCATTAGCTGTATTTAAACAACCTTTTGTTTGGTTTTCAGCCAACGAGAGAGAATTTTTGAGATCTGTGTGTGAAGTATTTAATAAAACATCTATAGTATATAATAAAACCGTAGAGGTCGAATGTCTGTACATAGAAAAAAATGCTAAAAACCGGGTCAGGGGGATATAAGTAGGGAAATAGAACAAATCCAGTTTTTTTTTAATTTTTTATTTCTCTGTCTGTTTGTCTGTTTGTAAGGGCTAATCTCCGAAACTGTTGGACTGATTTAAATGAAATTTTTTATTGTGGTATCTCATACCCCGATCAACATTTTAGATACTTTTTATCCCGGAAAATTAGAGTTCCCGTGGGATAGTTAATAAACTATAGTAACTTAATACAGCTTAGTACACAACTACTTTTGCACCTAATTTAGTAAAATTTGGCATGCTGATACCTTACATTGCCGGTCAAACAACAGTATACTTTTTATCCCAGAAAATTGAACGGTTCCCGTGGGATAGATCTGTTTGTGCTTTTCTAGAGGCGAACCAGCGAAGCGAGAGTGAGCCGCAAGTATTAAGTATATAAAAAAGTGAAAAAGTCATTTTTTGTAAACTTTATTTAAAGGACCATGATTAGGAAACCTCATACAAAATTCCGTAGGTACTACATGAAAACTTTTAGTAGATAAAAGTGAAAGTTTATTCATAAAGGGACATATTGTAAAATATTATACCTAACGTAAATATTTAGCCTCTCAGTAGACATGCGTCCGTTTACAGAATGTGACGCGAATCCCAACAGACTTAAATCTTCCCTAAAGGCTGCGGCGATCGATCAGATAGCGTCGACGTGTGAACCAATGTTGCCAATTACTCCACCTTCCATCGTATAAATAAATGAAAGAATACGTTTTAAAATCTTTAAATTTAATAAGGAGCGATACAGTTGCAAACTTCTTTTATTTCTTCTCTTTTTAATATCTAAAGATTTTAAGAAATTCTTAGACTCTTTAAAGTCATTCGCTTTAAGGAAATACTCCATAAAATTGTTTTAATTCTTCGTACTTAAGCTATATGATATCTTAAACATATATAAAATACTTAAATAGCCACAATAAGAATTTCAATCACCAGCTATATAAAACTAAATCCCACCCACATGACTTACTTGACAGGTAGGTACGAGTATGTACTCGTAGCAACCTACGCTTTTTCCATTAAGATAGGTATTTGTTAGATCAATGTAAACAAATAGATTACCTACTATGTTTACGTTTCATTAAGGAATAGAATATCACTTTTTTAATTATCCTCCAAAGAGAATCTTACTAAACAAAATGAATAGCCGAAGCTATATCACGTGCGTTATGAAAATATTTTGTTACATAACCAGGCCGGCGTCCCCTTCCGCAATTAAGGCGGCCGACACCCAATTGGTGATGATTAGTGACTAATCCGTCTCATATTCAATCAATACCCAAAACTTTACCCACATACCTCTGCCCGCCTCACCCCTCGTCGCGCGACATTTAATGACACCCGTGCAACGGTGCCTGCGCGCTATTATACTCCTTACTGTGACCACATAAGGAGCAGTCTTCCCCGAAACCGCCCACCGCGTTATATAGCACCGAGGATCTATAAAAGTTACGTCTGTAATCTAACATAAAACTCGGGCCGTTTAGATGCGAACGCGGCCACGGACGACACATCTCGCCTCGCTCCGCACTTTTACCGAAAATTGACAGTGTTTTTTTGTGAAAAACGATGTGTTTATCACGCGAAATCGCGCGCCTGTCGGTCTCTTCGCGGGCCTCGGCCACATGCCGTCGCGGCGGGCGCACGCGATGTGTTTTCCAACAAGTTTGACGTTTGCCAGTCCCAAACATCCGTGAGTACATTTGAATATTTATCTTGGATCTAACTTTGAAAATCGATGACAAAAAGCTCATTTACACATTTTGTGTAACGCTTTTTTTGCTTGATTTGTTAGAAATGTTTAACAGTAGGTACAATGAACAAGGATCAATTTCAAAGTTTGTGATACTTACTCCCTTACGTCAAGAAAGACTGCTAAAATTTTGATATAATTTTTGTTTATAAAGTCTTGTCTTAAAAGCTCCGGCTTTACAAGATTTATGAAAGAAAAAGCTAAAGAGTTTGGTAGAAATTAAAACTTTGGCTTGAAGAAGTTTATACACGAAGTGGTGTAGTATTAACATAGCATAATACCTATATGTGTAGCTTAAAATAATGTATCAAATTGTGTAAAATGTCTACGAGTATAAATATCAACGTCGAGGAAAGAGTTTATCTATGTAAACGTCAATAGGTAGATACTGCATCGAAGGCGGGTCGTTGAAAACTAGCTTTTAATGTATGCACATCTTCACACTATACTTAAAATCTCTATCTATGCCGTCTATTAGGTACAGTACCCTATAACTTACTGACAAAGAACCAATGAATGCAAATATGTTTCATGAAATCGCATACTTAGACTAACACTAACTTTTACTAACTTTAAATTATGAATATTACCTATGTAAGCTTTCAACGCTTTTAGACGTTTAAATGGTTAATTTTACTTAACTTTAATGAAATTTTTGAGTATCTCTTCAAAGTTACCTTTTCTTCCTACACTAGGTATTGTAAATGAGTAACTTTTGACATGTTTATATTTTTTTTATTAACTTTACAGTTTGTTTTCTTCCTTAGTATGTAGCCTTAACCTGTTTTATAAAAGCTTAAATATATATTTAAGGATATAATATATACTTATAGGTACTTATCTAATGGTTAAAATAGAATAACATATAAGTGTAATTTACACAAATATAATTTATTTTCAAACATTTTAATTATTAATTTTAATTTCTTAAATACCTATTTTCAGAACAATATATCTTTTAATTACATTACATACACTACTAACGCCATCTTTCTTAACCATCATAAAACTCTGTCTAGCAATTCTTCAGAATAAACTACAAGTAGAATCCATTTCTTTTTCTTCCTATTCCAACTTATGAATTTTATATATATCTTATCTCTTCTAACCGGCCATTACTGATTGACATAACCTTGCAGTCGTGCATTTGAAATCGAACTCTCCCGTCTCAATAATAAGGTTGCAGTTGCATTGCTTGCAGTTACACTAAGTTCCTCAGTTGATATCATTCAAGCTTGTGCAGTACCTGGAAATATAACTATCTCAGTCTCGCATGTATTGTTATCTCATTCAGATGCATTTAGTTTTTTATACAGATATCTCATTCGGTGAGAGATAAACAGATATACGTTAGTTGCGACAGTTTGAGATGCTAAGTTCTACCACCATGATGAAATAGGCGGGGCACCGTAATTCTCAGTTCAGTACACTTATAGTGTGGCAATCGAATGTATTCATGTTCTTTTTACTATTTAGTATTTATCAAAAATAATTTCATTTAAATAAAACTTAGTTAAAAATGTATAAGTTACATAATTAAATTAAATGTTATGTGAGATATAATCCAGATTAAAAAAAAAAGAAAACATTATTGTATAAATTGATAGGAAGCTATTTTGTGTGTTGATTATTTGAAATGAATCTAGTTATTAAATTGATTTAATATAAGTAAGTAATTTACATAAGTACATACATTTAGTAGTTTTATTAGACACCTATTATTTTGGTCTTATTAGGAATAATATTATTTATACAAAAATTATAAAATTATTAAGTAAATAATACAGGTACAGAGTACCTACTTATTAGGTAATGTTATATGTTTAAATTCTAATTTTAAGTTAAAAAATTTCTTGTATTTGAATAAATTAAGTAGTAAATGGGATCTACCTTGATATGTACCTACATGTTATATTCCTCTCATGTGTTTGATTGATATTTACCAAGGTCTAAGTAATAAGAATAACTGATAAAAATTAGGTGTTTGCATCAATATTTAATTTCAAATAGGTATATCACACAGAAAAAATACATGTCTCTATTTAAAGTTCGCTGATCTAAATAGGTAGAACTCACTAGTACCTGCATTTACAAATTTTATAAAATGTCTTTCAGAAATCATTAGAAGTGACTACAAAGAGAAATACACAACTATAAATTAAAATATGTCTATTCTGTACAAGATAATATAACCTTTAGTATACAAAAGATAACATTTGCATTTTCCTAATGACTCTACTGTTAGTTCACTATGCGGTAGTTAAAGATATAGAGTTAAATACCGGTACATTTACTGTTCAATAAACGTTTTTGCTCTATAATTACTATGTATATTATAATTTATAACTAAATTAGCCTTTTAATTACTACGCTACTAGCTATTTAAGTAAAGCCGCTTTATAGGTATATCAAGTTTCAATGTATTTTTTGCTATCATTAACGTATCGATTTTATTATTTATGTACACGGTGTATATAGGCAGGTGCTTTATAAAGATATAAGTATCTAGTAGGTAGGTATAATGTAAATATCGAGTAAAAGTTTGGGTGTTAAATTAATGCTTATGGTAATACCTATATGTAAAAAGAATTTATATTCATTATTTATAAGGATTGTCTGATATATTAGGTAGGTACCTACCTATATGGTACAATTTTTAAATATGTTATTCATTTTTGAAGTGAAACTTCTTTAGAATCGTTGTGATTTTAAACTCTATGAAACGAAAATGTGACACTAAATAGAGACAAACACATAAATATATATATTTATAGGAAAAGCCGGCGAGAGAATGAGATAAAATACATTGTCCTGTTGTCATGGTAAACGTTGTTATTGTCTGACTAATAAGGTAATATATTCTTTCCGTATATGATATTTTGTAAATATATGATCGTAATATGCCTTATTTATTTATCGATTTGTTTTAATTTAATTGCGATATTTACTTCAACCGCGCGTAAAGGTTACATGCACCAATTTTTTTTATAAGATTTGACTACACTGTGCTTTAATGGCGGTTTTTTGCACCATTAATTTACTTAATAAATAATAAGATTATAAGACTTGTTATGTTGGGAAGATATGTTTTTCAATTTAGGTGTAAAATATTCCTTAAGAATAGCTTGGGTACCTATACTTATTTCTTTTACAAATTAGTGTCTGCATTTTTTTAAATAAATATATGTATTTATTCAAGTTTATATAAATAAATATTTGAATAAAATTCAATAAGTACAGTACCAACGGCAACAGTATTATATAGGAAGTTACTATTTTAATTTTAAAATATAAAATTTTATTCAAGCTTAGAGTATTTTAGGTAAATGTATTTGAACAACATTCTTCTCGCGTATTTAGGTAAATACTATAAGATTTGGTAAGTATTATAATTAAGGAGACACAGAGTGATTATGCCATATATAGGTACATCCCCTATAGGAATAACAAAATATATAGGAAATTAGTACCTATGACTAACTTAAACAATAAAGAACAACAATTCAAAAGCAAAATTTTCTAACAAAGAAATACTACTTCCAAATTTAACTTTAAACAACATTATAGCCTGATCTGAGACAAGATAGGCCAGAATACTGTTAGAACTCTTATGTGGTACCAGTTACAATTCATTCAAATTATTTATTCGTCGTCGTTTCGCCTCGTCTCACCCAAACACGCCCACTGCTGGACATAGGCCTGCCCCAAAGATTTCCACGACCACCGGCCATGTGCCATGCGCATCCAGTGGGATCCAGCGACTTTGACCAAGTCGTCGGTCCATCTTGTCGGAGGTCTGCCCACGCTTTGCCTTCCCACGCGTCGCCACTCGAGAAATTTGTGTCCCCAACGACCGTCTGTTCTGCGAGCGATGTGCCCCACCCACTGCCACTTGAGCTTGGATATTCTGTGGGATATGTCGGTGACCTTAGTCCTTCTGCCTATTTCCTCATTTCTGATTCGATCTCGCAGGGAAACCCCGAGAGCATAGTCCTTTCCGTTGCTCTCTGTGTGACCTTGAGCTTTCTTATCAAACCCATCGTAAGCGGCCACGTCTCTGTGCCATCTGTCATCACTGGCAACACACACTGGTTAAAGACTTGTCTTGAGGCACTGCGGTATTCGAGATTAGAAGATCTTGCGTAGCTTCCCGAAAGCTGCCTAGTTCGAGTTTGATCCGTCGATTGACTTCTTTCTCGAAGTTGGACCTACCTAGCTGGACAGTTTGTCCCAAGTATATATACTCGTCTACAACTTCGAGCATAGAATCACCAATAGAAACTGGAGTGGTTGCAACATGGATATTTGACAAAGGTATATGGTCTCAGCTATAACCACTACATCGTCGGCAAACCGTAAGTGAGTGATGTACCTACTCGCCGTTAATGTTGATGCCCAGTCCATTCCAGTCCAGGACCTTAGAGACATCTTCCAAATAATTTATACGTGGAACATATTCTCAATTTTATACATATTGAACAGGCATAGGAAATACTTCAGTTTTTAAGACTTGCTGTCTTAAATAATATTTAGTGGTATATGTCCGGGACGAAGTTTAACGGCTGTTTGTATAATTTCGGATTTACTGGCATTGACAACCTACACATATAATAAAATTCTAATTGAGTCGAATCTGTACCTACATTAAGTATTTTTTGGAAAATCTTATTGAAATGGTCATTATTATCGATACAATGGCCGTATCTATAGTTTTTAGAAGTTTTGCCTGTTTGTTTATTTGTATGTCTGGGAACACATCACGAAAAAACCATTAGACAGGTTTTGATGAAATTTGGTATGATGATTGTTGGGTATCCGGGTCAACATATAGGATATTTTTAATGCGGGAAAATATCTCATCTCTGAGAAATTTATACTAAACGTTAAAACATTCCTAGAGCGGAGCCCCGAGCCCGAGCGGAGTGAGGGTGAGTCGCTAGTAATTTAATA